GGGGGGGTTGTGTGTATTTTAGCCTTGTTTCCGATTTTCCCCCTTGTTTTTCTACTATTTCAGGCAAACTCTACGGACATAGTTCCTTTCAGCATGAACACGTTCGTGTGACGTTGGGTCGGGGCGCTTTCATCTGGGGTGGGTGGAGCGTGGGCCTATTCGACGAGGAGGGCGAGTTTGAGCTCGGTGGGCGGCTCGGCCTGGTCGGTGAGGTTCATCGGGGACCAGTGCGGCCAGCTCTGGAGGTGGCTGAACAGGGAGGACGGGAATGACGACGGCGATGACGAGGAGTCGGACGAGTCTGACGTCGGCGATGACGTCGAGCTGCTCGGCCCGCTCACGCTCGAGCTCACGTCTTGCTCCGAGTAGCCCACGAGCTTGTAGTCCCGCGAGATTTTCCCGGTCCGCACGCCGCAGTCGATTAGGTCCCGCGCCGTTTTCAGCATCTCCGCCGAGGGAACGCTCGCTGTCAACAGGGAAAACATCCGATTATCCAACTGTATCTATGCAAATGCTGCCTAGAGTCCCTTTATACCCAGAGTTAAGACAGGTTAAGACAACTCACTTTTGGTTGGGCTGGAAGTGGCCTAAAAAAAATCCAATTCTGATTGGTTCTCGCTCATGGAGGCCGAAACGAGTGCACCAAGATGGCGGTACCTCGAATGTGAACAAGAATAATGAAAATATTACCTAATTGTGGTTTATCAAGAGTAAGTTGTTATTTTCATCGGTCCAAAATGAAAATAGATTAAGAAATTATTCACAAACCAAACTCATTCTCTTTTTAATTGATCAATTTGTTGATGTTGTTGTTTTTGTGTGACAGACATCGCAGGATTCCTGATCCTTATCCCTCAATATCGTTCGTTTGGGTGCACTCGTTTCGGCCTCCATGGCCAGCCAAGGCCGGCTGCCAGTCAGCTGATAATCGAGTTGTCTTAACTCTGGGTATAAAGGGACTCTAATGCTGCCATGCTAAGGAAGAACGCCGTATACGGGGAAAAAACCTCGTGCGTGGGACCCGAAGTTGAGGTCATATTGATCTCTGAAGTTTTCGGATCACGTATCTGAGTTGTCAAAATTTCCCTTGATAAAACAGGCATTTTTGGGCGACACTCATGCATATTTTCCCCTAAAATTTTCAGATAATTTAGATTAAACTGCGTAAAAAACTGCCTGAAATTTTTGATAACAAATATTCACCAATTTCCCGGTAAATTCGATCTTTATCGAAGGAAATTTGGCAACGTTTGAGGGCTCATGCACGGAGAAAAAAACTTCGTGCATGGGACCCGAAGTTGAGGTCATTTTGATCCCTGACGTTTTCGGATCACGTATCTAAAAACTTGAGGTCCAGCTGCCGAAGTTCGGGTCAGACATCTGAAGTGGTTCGATGTACTCGTATACCGAAGGGTTCGGGTCACACATCTGAAGTACTCCGGTACGCACCGCAGTGCCTCGATGTCTGACCCGAATTTCGGCAGCTCGACCTCAAGTTTTCGTATGCGTGATTAGAAAACTTCAGAGATCCATATGACCTCAACTTCGGGTCCCTGCACAAAGTTTTTTTACCCGTGCATGAGCCTTCAAACGTTGCCAAATCTCCTTCGAAAAAGACCGAATTTACTAGGAAATTTGTGAATATTTGTTATCAAAATTTTCAGGCAGTTTTGTACGCAGTTTAATTTAAATTATCTGAAAATTTTAGGGGGAAAATATGCATGAATGCCACCCAAAAATGCATGTTTTATCAAGGGAAATTTGACAACTCTCGAATTTTCATACGGCGTCTTACTTTAACACGGTAGAATGAGTCAGTTGCGCTGATCTTAAATGGAAAATTCAGTAGAGCAACCATTCGTGCTCCGGGGTAGTGCTGATTGCCTGCACGCAAATTTGCAGGCGTTTTACAGGGTCACAGAATTTATTCGGTTCAATCGATTTCTGCAATGACCTATGGCAACGAAGTGTGGCGATGGGTTCGTTCCGCCAGTCATATAATCGTGTTTTGATGCTTGATTCTGGAAGATTAGCTGACAATAATAAGATCTGTAGAAACAGCAACTCTCTAAGGCCAATGTTAACCGAGCTGTCGAGCTTTGAAAATTCGGCTTTCGACGTCATCCGACGCGGGAGTGACACCCTTGGTTTCTTCCGCTTTGCTTTCATCAATCAGTGAGACACACATTTACACTGGTTACCAACGTGAAACTAGGGTGAAAGAAAGGTCAAAGAAATTCAGCGTGTCACTACCGCGGTGGATGACGTCAAAAACCGACTTTTTCAAAGCGCGATATCTCGGTTAATACTGAACGTAGTGTCTGGACAGATCTTATTATTTTTGGCTAATTTACAAGAGCCGAGCATTAAATCACGATTCTGTGACCAGCGCAACTGATTACTAGATCACTCGCAATGGACCAATAGACAAGGCGAAAATGGCTCAGTTGCGCTGGTCACAGAATCATGATTTGCTGGTTTAAACATGTAGTTTAGCAAACTTCCTTTTATCATAAATAGTCCAGTTTTGAAATTTATGGTTCTGCCTCGGAAATCTTTTGAACTCAAGACCTTTCTAAGCTTAAATAATGTGTTTTTGAGGCAGGAAAATTTTCGGAACTTAAAGTTGAGACTTTACAATCGAGCAATTAAACAAGCACTCGATTAAAAATTGATATCTAAATGTTTTTTCTGTTTTGCTAAAAGCGGGTAAATTTACAAAAAAAATGGGAAAATGCTTTAACTTACAGCTAAAATCGCCGAGAAATGCTATGTTGATGCTTTTGTTATTGTAATTTTTAACAGCCGCTGGTTTTTGATTCCATCCTCGTCCCTCATAAACAGATCCATCGCCACCTATCGCAAAACTGAAACAGAGAAACAAGAAAGCAACCGTAAATTTAAACACTTTTCTAATCATCAAAATATATAGGAGTCTTATTGATGGATATTCAATTAATTATATCGTAGACTAAGAAAAACTTAGGACTTAGTGAGTTTTTGGACTACTGCTTTCTTTTTTGGCCGTAGTATCTTGATTTATTTTGCAAGGGAAGCTCTGTACTTTTGATGGATGCCTGCCATTCCTAATATATTAGAGCGCCTTCAGTTTCGTATGATACTGTGTAATACCTCTAGTGTGAAATAGTTGCTTCAAGCGCCGTGGCACGCTGCGGCGCGGCAGGCGGGCAGCCAGCGCAAAACGCGCATTGGAGCCTACAAACCTAACAGGGATACTTCACGCGTTGCGCAATGTGTGAAGTATCCCTGTTAGGTTTGCAGGCGCCAGTGCGTCGCCGTTCCGCTTTGTGTTAGGCTTTAATATTAAATCTGGCGGAGTCAGCGTTATTCAACTCATGATTTTGAAATGTTTGCATATCCATTATTATTTTCGTTTTAATTTATGAAAAAACATATGTGCTAAAGGAAAATATAATGTGTGTCTTGTAAATATTAAGGTGGTTCTGTATCAAACTTAATAATTTCCAAAGCACACGAATTTCTACACAATTTCTTATAGCCTTTTATAATCGATGACGAAAAAGCAACATCCAGGCGATAAAGTGTAAAGCCCGGCGATAGGAATTACAGCCCGGCTGTACACAGAAAAAAATGGATGGTGCTGACGACAGAACCTTTTGTTCATACGGCTCCCACAGTTTCTTTGTTACACTTACAGAACTTTTCTGTTGTGAGAACAGAACTTCTGTCGTGGGAACAGAGTACTCTGTTCCCACGACCAAAAGTTCTGTAATTGTAACAAAGAAACTGTGGGAGCCGTATGAACAAAAGGTTCTGTCGTCAGCACCATCCATTTTTTTCTGTGTATAATTTTTTACCGCTTCGTATAGCCCGGCCGTATGATTTTCTCCGCATTTGCAGCCAGCTATATGATTTTCTGTAACCTTCTCTAGCCGGCTATAAGAATTCCTATGGTATTTTGAAACGCAGCTCTTATCGCCAATTTTTACCAGGGTCTGGCTAAGTTAATAAAGGAAGTGCTTAAACTGAAGCGTATGAATACTTATTGGTGATCGAAGTATGAAAACTTTGAAGCAAAATCGACCGAAATTAAATTTTATCGGTAATGTAGAATCGCGTCCATGATATTGGACTCCATGATCACCTATATAATGTTCAGTTGCTCATCACGTCCAAGATCTTGGACTCCATGCTCACTTTAATGAGGTATAATTTTTTAGAAAAATCGAAGTGAGCATAGCGCCCAAAACTGTGGGATGCAGGTATTCTCTGACAACACACGAGCATATGGTCCAAAAATTTATTAAGACAGTTTTTGTGAAATAAAGACGAAAAAATGTGTTTTCGCAAAAAATTGTGCATTGGTTAGGGTAGGTTAGGTTAGGTTAGTTCTAGTTAGATTAGATAAAAGAAGTTTACGATTTTCTATCATTATGAACTTTAAAACTAAGAAAGGCCTACTTCCTATTGGACTCCATGCTCAAGCAAAGAAGTGAGAACTTTAGCGATGAGCATGGAGTCCAAGATCTTGGACGAGATGAGCGGGCAAGTAAATCAGGGCTAAGCATGGAGTCCAATATCATGGACGCGATGCTACATAATCATTTTATCTGCCTTTTTTTCATGACATTTCGCTCTGAATGTCTCGTTTATCAGTCTTCCTCTATAAATCCTATTGGAAAATCTTCAAAGGATATACTTATACATAAGGAAAGTATCTCCGGTTAAATATTGTCTCTGTTTTGCATGTATTATTATGGGGCCTAGGTCACATTGGAGGTAGTCTCTTTTGACTTTAATACAAGAGTATTAGCGACTTGCAATTATCACCACTGCAGTTGAACAATTTATTCCACGCCACTTAATATGTAAAATCAATAATCAGTCACTTGTCTAATCGTATAACGTAACCATCAAAATAATGAATGATCCGAAAGCTTGTGAAAACCACAATACTTGTTTATCAAATGATTAAAAGCTATACGGAGCCGTAAAATATTTTCCGGGTTATACATTCAAGATTACAGGCATTTCTGAATAAAAAAACATCAGTTATCTCTCGATGCCAATTCCGAATTTTTCGTGTGCCAACTTTTCCGCTTTTGTATGCGGATATGACTCCCTGAGACTTTTCAACAGCACGGTCGCTGCAGAAAAAATTTTTAAAATCATTTTCAGCTCCTTTTTTTCGCACGTTGGCTGCACTACCAGCTCTCTGTCTAAAATAACGAATGTTGAAGGCACACCGTCGCACAGTGGATCGAGTCAATTGGACTACATTTTGCAATTTGGAACTATAAATTCTAGCCCGGTTTAAAAACAACGTATGTGCCATTAGTTTCCCCTTGCACACATGTGTTTTTCCTTAAGAGTCAGAATTCATAGTTCCAAATTGCAAAATGCAGTCCAATTAGGGGGGTCGGGCATAACATTTTTAACCAAGACTGCAAATTTTGATGTTTATTTCGACACATTTTCAATTTCAAGGGGTGTTCCTGGAGGAGATTTTTACGTGATAACCGATGAAACCACCTTTAGAACCTCAAAGTTTTGTATAAACAGAGTTGTAAGCGTTTAAAGTTCCAGATTTTGTCCTCCCTCTCCTATTGACTGGATCCACTGTGCGTCGCTCGGAAGGAGTTCCGTTTGTTTTTGTAGTAGAGGTTGGCAGTCCTGCCGTGCTAAGGAAAAACGCCGTATGAACCTTTGTCAGTTGCCAAATTTCCATTGATCATATTCGAATTTTCCGAAAAACTTGTGAATATTCTCCGTCCAATGTTTGAGAGAATTTTCCTCGTAATTACATCTATGTTATCTGAAAATTTCAAGAGAAAATATTCGTAACCGTCCTCAAAAATAAACATTCCATTGGAGGAAATTTGGCAGCTCTCGAATGTTCATACGGCGTTTTTCCTTAGCACGGCAGAGTAGCTGAAAAACTTAACAAAATTCACTCGTGGAAATTGGCCTATGGTCACCATCAGCTATACTCACTTGAAACCGATGTCGAACCAGTGGCGATCTCTCTGGTGTAGCCTCTGCAATTCTAGCATTCGTACGATACAACTTTCGGTGGTGCTGCAAGGTGGAAGTCGGGAGTGGTGGATGATGACCATGGATGGAGGTTGCTCGGGGTCGTATTTGTCGATCGGGCCCGTCGGAGGGCTCGCGTACCACGAATCTCGGGCTAGGATCGCCGGACATGCCACTGAAACATCAACGAACGAAAAATTAGCCTTCTATCAACTTACGCCGTAGCCGGCCAGCGGGGCGATTATTGAAATGATACTGACTGTNTGCTCTGATTGGTTGATATTGAAGGAATTGAACAAAGGAGGAGCAGAAACATGGTCTGGTTGACGAAACACGGTGATCCCATTAATTTATCCATAAGAAAGAGGCTGGCTTAACACCATCTACGTCAGTAAGATGGCGGTCTTGACACCCTGCTGCTGCAGTGAATGATCTCGAAAGTTCTGCGATGCTGTCGACGTGGCACGCCGACGCCCATAGAGAAAAAAAAGGAGGTGTTTGCATCTTGAGGATTTGTACCCACTTACGTCATCAATGTAAACAAGACGCTCGTTGAGGGTTATGTTGACGCTGTAAAAACGGACCATAATGTCCGATTTTTTTACTTAAATCAACTCTTTATATAATTTCAAGCACTTTTTATAGAATGACTTTTTCCCTTAAATTACACCATTTCCAAGAAAATCGACAGGATAAAAACGTCGCTGTACCCAATGACGTCATCAAAGCTATAGATACTCTATGAAAAATTCCAAGATGCCCGAAATACAAACACCTCCTTTTTTTTCTCTATGGGTTACTGCGTCTGGCACTAGACCAATACAGCCGTGCTTAGGAAGAACGCCGTACGAGCCGTCAGACGTTGCCATGTTTCCTGCGATAAAAAAACGAATTTACTGGGAAAATTTCGAATATTATTTTCCAAAATTTTCAGGCAATTTTTTGCGCAATTGAATCTAAAATATCTGAAAATTTCAAGGGAAAATGTGTTTAAATTGCGTCAAAAAAACATGTTTCGTCAAGAAAAGTTTGGCAACTCTCGAATGTTTATACGGCGTTCTGCTTTAGCACGGCAGAATAGGTCCCGGGCTCGAATCCCGGAGATGGGAACAAATTTTCACAAAAGACGAGTGGATCTGCAGAGACAGATTCTACTCGACCTTGATCCCTAAAACTTTGGAGGCCGGAGCATGGATGTGCCAAAATCCCCCTGATGTCTACTGACGATAAAATAATCTCTATGTTAAAACTCATGTCTGCAGATGGCTGTTGATACCAAAGTCACTAATTAAACAGGAATCGAAGCAAAAAAAAAAAAAAATTACGCCATCGAGAACAAATTTTTACTTCGAACAAAATATGAGTTCGGCTTCTAAGTTTCCGACTTTCAAGTGCATCGTCATCAGCACGGTTCTAAGATCATCTTGCTCGGACAGGAGGATGATACGTTGTGTTGTTCGTCACAACCTAATCGATCCGTTGTCTTTGTCAAATGTTCATTTGCGTCATATCACGGGTACAAGATTTCTACTGGCGACAAGCTAGTATGCCATGTATTGTTTACTCAGCGATACAACTGATACGAACTCTCTTTAATGTTTTTAAAGGTTGTTTTTGCAAACGCTTGAGGCAGAACAGTTTAGTTGTGTGAGTGAAAAACATTATGAGCAGTGCAGTGAACTTCTCACATTTTTTTTTGAACTATATCATCAAATGCAGGGACTGTATTTAGAGTCAGCCCAACTACATCAGGCGTTGTCTAAATTTCCCGCACATTACTTCTTTAAAAGGAAACTATAACGCATTAATTCTGACGTGAAATGTCATTAACATTCTTCTTATAGTAAGAGAATCTCACAGGAGGTTATTCAACATGGTTTTGTATTGTTTCTCTGTTTAAAAAAGTAAAACATTATTGGAAATGAGGCAACGTCAAATGTAGTTAGGATAATTATGTCGAAATGTATCCAAGGCATGTTTATTATAATGCCACTCTGAGGAATAACGTCGTACGAACATCCAACTTTTTCCAAGTTTCCCTCCATAAAATATTCATTTTTGAAGAATTATATAGATGTTTTTCCATGAAATTTTCGGATATCGTAGATCAAATTGCGGTAAAGATTCTCCGAAAAATTGGAAGAAATTCTTTAGTTTCTTTGAAAATTTGTATTTTAGCAGAAGAGAGTGACGTCTGTAAGCTCACACGGCGTTTTTCCTTTGCATGGCGGTATAACTTTCCCGCTCTCTAAAGTTAAGCTTTTTCATGACTAAATTCAGAGATTTTTTGTGGCGATTTGCAGCTGTTGGCAAAAAAATCGTCGTTGCCAATACGAAGAAACGTAAATTCAGTCCAAGGTTGTAAAATCGACTCAAACATTTAATTATTTTAAAAAATATAAAAGCGCATTTATTTTTGTTCAAAATGTTACTGATCTTTGCGTTTACTTATGAGAAAAATCACTAAAATTTTCCCTTAGAAATGGATCACATACTGCAATCAGGAACTATTATTTCTGGCTCATCTATAAAAACACCTATTCATATAGGAAAACTGATGGCATATTTGATGTTTCTGAAAGTAGCCGGAAGTAGTATAGTTCCTCGCTGCAAAGTACAGTCCCAATGCCGAACAGTTTCTCCACAAAAATACGATTTGCGAGGACAAATTTTGCAATTTTGAAATGTAGTCACATTTTTTCGCCAGAGATACGGCATAATAACCTCTCAATGAGCCCGCTGTTCCCAAAACTTCGAATTCTGATTATCATAAAATGATTGTCGGAAAGGAAGGAAGGACGCACTGGAAAAAAATCTCTTGGATCTAGAGTCCAGACTCTTAAAAACATATTGTCAAGAAAAAATACCCTCGATTCAATCGGATCTTTGCTTAAATCGAGAACTTAGCCTCTAAATTTAAGTGGATTTCCTCTTGATTCAAGCAAAAATCCGATTGAATCAGACGTATTTTTTATTGTTAATGTTCTCAAGAGTCTGGACTCTAGGTCTAAGTGACTTTTTTTTTGAGTGCGTTTTACAGAGGCTGGGCTTCGCAGTGGCTGGGGATAATTTCGTGAGTGAATTTTTCTCAGTTTTTTCAATTTTGATTCAACGGCTTCTTGTGCAGGTGGAAAGGGGAGGGAGCAACGTATCAATTACTATACAAAGTGCGGCAAATCGATGACTCAATCGTGACAGCACGATAACCGTCCAAAAGTTCTCTTTGAACTTGGAACTCGTTGAGTTACGTAGAACAAACAGATCAGAGACCGCCACTTAGATCAGAATCAGATTTGTCTGAATTTTTTCCGGTGAATTTTGATCTCTTCAAGTTTACAGAGAAAGGGGGACTGATAAAAAAAGAACATTCCACGATCGAGTTCAACAATGTTTGACTGAAAGTATTTCCTGAATTTAATGCTCTTTCAATAGGTCACCTTCAACTTTCAACCAAAAGGCTTTTCCATGGGTCATGCGAGACTCAGGCAACAATTTTTACCTTTGGTTGATCCTCAAACCGTGACTTATTGTTACCTCATTTTTATTTTTTATTTTTTTATGGGGGTCGTGGCGGGGAGGGGGGAGGCTACACTTAGCTCTTTATTGTATCTATCCTAATCTATGTGAAATATTACTTTAAGCTTGCATCATAAACGACTGACCATGTTGCACGGGATGTATCTTGGCTTAAGATAATGCATTAACACGGTCTTGGTCTCGGCATTAGTCAAAATTCGAAGGTAGTCTGCAATTTCCTCGGAGTATGCTATCTCTTTCTTATTCACGATATTACAAATATTTCGTTTTTAGTCGAGCATTAAGTGTATGTGGAAAGTAATACTAAACTTGGGCTAAGTCATTAGATTGGAGAATCTCATGAATCCAATCTTTAAATCTTTTTTTGATTCTCAAAGAGATGCAGGAAGAACAAATTTCAGTATTATAATTTTTTTTTTTTACTTTTGCCCACCCGCTATTTTTGAAATGAAATAAATAATGTTGCGAAAATGACTATATCAAACATCTTGCATACGCCCTCAGATTTGTACAACGTGGAACAATTTATGACGTGGCACTGGATGATGCAAAGCCTTCGGTATGTTGCGTTTGCGAAAATTGCACTTTGAATGGTTATACTCTGGATGCAAAGCAGAACGTACAGAGAAAGAATATCCAGGATTCTTGGAAGGAAGGGGGGGGGGGTGAGGCCCAACCTCCCCCCGCTAATACTCTTATGGGATGTTAGTGATTGATTTTGTATCGATTGGTTGATTTTGTTTCAACACTGAAAAGTGCAATCGTTAACTGAAATTACTTAACCAATCCCTGAAAAATAATTATGCAAAAAATCGCTCTCGTGTATTTCAAAGTCTACGGAAATACCGCCTGAAATGCACGTTTTCTTCCACGGATTCATCTGCGACAGAAGTATGGTGTGCGTTAAAATTACAAAATATTAATAATCGTTTCCACAATCGTAAAATTTAAGTGTCTCAACTATTTGATGAGTAAAAGGGACCTCGTTAGCATGGGCTTAACACCGTCAATATTTCATCATGCTAGGTAGAATTTGGTTGATTCTAAACGGGCTTTCATAGAATTGAGGGACTTGCAGGACAAGGTGCGCAAAAGTGCAGTTTTTGAAAAAATTGAGATGTTCATGAACTCAACTAAAACTAGTTTGAAAGCATATTCTGTGATAAATCCACAACTAAAATCCAACTTTACAGCATCAAAACGTGAGTTTAAACTTCCTGCCTGCCATACTACTCCATGTAATCTTGAGGAATGTTGGAGTTTTTTTGCCAACGTGCGTTAAAAAATTCAACATAAAGCTTTTTAACGCACGTTGGCAAAAAAACTCCAACATTCTGTCGTTGAGCGCGTCTACCGCAATCAGTTTGGTAATCTTGAAGCTTTAAACGCGTATTTCTTGAAATGGCAAAAACTGCACTTATGTGCCTTGTCCTCCAAGCCCCTCAATTGGAAATCAAGCCTCTTATTGATATTATATGAAACATGTTTAATGACGCAGCCAATAGGGATCCTCGAAGTCTAAACATTAAAACTCTGGCTGAATCATTTTTCCACGGAATAGTCCTTTTTCTCGTAAAAATAATTCATGAAATCTTTACCTCTAGACCCCTACGCCATCTACGTTGAGCATCATGAAAA